GTTATTTTATTTTAGCTGGTTGTCAAGGCACCATTTCTCATTTTCACTTAGTCAAACTTTATGTACTCAAATAATTAAAGCTGAAATTCAAATGAAAAAAAACAAAAAAAAAACATTTAGACATATTTATAAATTAAAAACTAATAAAAAAAGACAAAAAACAACAAATTTACTAATAACAAAAAAAAAACATTTAGACATATTTATAAATTAAAAACGAATAAAAAAAGACAAAAAACAACAAATTTACTAATACGTCAACAAAACTTAAAATATAAAATAAAAACTCATTCAAAATATTTACTAAATAAAACTACAATAGTATAAACTTTAACTGAAATGAAATAAAATACTATTTGACGTACTAAATGTAATGACGTACTAAAATAACTAAAATTAATAAAAAAAATTATAAACTACATAGAAATATTAAAAAATAATAATAAAAATGACAAAAATAAAATTTGTAATTTAACAAAACTTTAATAAAATATAAAAATAAAAACTTTCAAAAATTCTAAATATGAATAATATTGATATTAATAATAATAATAATAATAATAATAGTGGTACCACCACAGGAATTTTAATTATAAATATACCAGAAAACTGTTATAAAACCGTGACATAAACAGTTAAATCAATTCACAATGAACTGTTTTATTAATTATTCTCTAAGAACTTCTCATGTTCTTGCCTCATTAAGAGGAATTGCTTGTATTCCTTATTTATAAGGAATATTTTAGACTAATGAATGCTAAATGAATGAACGTAAATGTTTGCACTTATCATTAGAGTTTTGAGACTTTAGTTTAGAAATATGTTAACAGCAAACTCTTAAAATCAATTGAATGAGTCACTTGTTATCTGTAAGAAGACAATACAGAATGCATTACCTGACGTCTATTTTACACAAAGAGGTTTTGGGAAAAAAAAGAATCACTGTAAGAAGCGAAGATAAATGAATTATTATTAGTAGAATTTCAAAAACAGAGGCACAAGATACACAGCAACATGCGAGCCGTGAGTAGTCTTGTTTTGAGGGAAACTGTGAGCCCTTCAGCAACGAAACACCGCAACGCCTGTTCAAATGAATAGAAAATAAACCAAACAAGCTGTGCACAATCATCAAATGAATCCCCACGTCCTACCGTACACTCGTTTCTATTAAAGCACACGGTTTAGCTATAAAACCACTTCAGACCCAAAGCTCCGCTCCAAAAAACACAACAACAACGTCCATGCAAGCTAATCACCATCGGGTTCGAGTCTACTGAATTCTGACTTCTCGTTCAGCTCTTAGGTTACGTTAACTGAACGCGAGCCTGTCAGATCAAAGATAGAGACACAGCACATGGAGAGAGAGACTTTTCCAATAAAACACAGGTTTAAAAAAAAGCAGACGAACACACCTCATAACCTGGCGGAAAGGAGGAGGATACAGTAATGGGGAATGATCATCCTCACTATCTCTGCGACACAAGGAGAACAACAGCTTATGACACAGGAGTCACAGAAATCAACACAAATATCCTTTATGGAATATTGCAGCATGTAGGAATATGATATTGTAATTTATCTTTAAAGGTGAAGTGCGTCATTTTCAAATTCAAATCAAGCTATGAATTATTTACTTCCAGCGACTCTTCGGATGCGATACAACAATGCATACAAATGACACACAACACCTCTAAAGCAATGCAATGGTAAAAATTGGTCTAGGATGACAAAATGCCATCTTTTCCAATATTATATTTTTACATTAGAAAATGTAGATAAATGAGAGAATGCTTAAAGGAATAGTTCACCCAAAAATGAAAATGTGCTGAAAATGTGCTCACCCTTGGAGACATCCGAGATTAGGACGAGTTTGTTTCTTCATCAGATTTGGAGAAATGTAGCATTGCATCAGTGTCTCAGCAATGGATGCT